CTCAGAAACCTTAAGTAGCAGTTCTGCTCTGCCTTATATGGTAGTTATGAGTCAAAATTCTCTCAATTGCACTGGGTTTTGTTGTACCCATTAAGCAGTGAATGTTGAACACTAGAGTTTTATGAGTAAGATTTTTTTTTTTTTTTCTTTAACCTCAAAGGAATCTCATTTGGATATACAAGGATAATTCAAAAAGTTTTGTTACTAGGGTCCAGTTGGTATATGCATAAAAACCGAGTGCCATGAGTATTTCCGATTCATAGAGACCCTGTGATCTGCTCTTTATGGGAGCAGATTGCCTCAACTTCTTCCTGCAGCTGCAGGGGGTGGGTTTGAACTGCTGACCTGTGGTTAGCAGTTCAGTGCCTATCCTACAATGGTCTTGTTCCTGCAAGATCAACCAGCCAGACTGTTTCTAAAAACCATCAATGTTTTTAAAGAATGTGTTTAAATATGGCTCAGATCCCTGGTGGCTCTGAGTTGGGCTAACTCTAGGGTCAGCAGTTCGAATCCACTAGCTGCTTCTAGGGAGAAAGCTGAGGCTTTCTCTTTCCATAGAGATTTATAGCCTCGGATACCTGATAGATGATCATTATGAGTCAGACTCAATGGCAAACAACAACAAAAACAATACAACACGGCTTTGTGATCAGTGATGGCTGCAGATAAGTTCTATCAATAGTACAATTGTCTTAGCCTCCTTAAGATACCTTCAAAAGAAAGGGTTTTTTTTTTGTGTGTGTGTGTGTGTGTGCCATGGAATAAAATATTTTGAGGTCAAATGATTTTTAATAAAACTCAGATGAGCATCTTTCTAAATCATTGAAGCTTTACACTAAGTTTACAGAAATGCCGCCCCACATGAAACAACATTTAAAAAAACAAAATCAAGTGTTTTAAGGAAGGTTGGGAAGAACTCAAATGTGAGTCATAAGAGACCAGACTGTCAACCTTGACAAGTGAAGGAGCTGACTGAAATCTAGAAACTGATGGAATAAGACCAAAGAATTACCATTGATGCTGTAGTTACTGAACTGGGATCTCATATGGTTCTTCATTTTAACTTTTAGTGAACATCTTGACTTCAGCAAGCTTTCAGCCTTGAAGGATGCCAAAGGCGTTGTGGGACAATCAGCTAGCTCAATGAGCGGATCTTTCCATTAGTCTTTTAGGCAAGATTAATGATAATGAAGACAACTTTATAGAACAAATGGGAACCAGGAACAAGTCTTGGTTTTACCAATATGATCCAAAGCAAGGTTTGATCAAAACTTTGACTGCTGAGGAGATCTGCTGGGCCAGTTAAATTTGAGGCAAGGAGGTTAGCTTGAAAGTTAAGGTGACTGTTTTTCTGGCTGTCCAAAGGGTAGTTTCAATTGACTTTTCCCTCATGACACAAGATGATCACAGGAGTTTATTATGAAGAAACTATGTACCATGGAGTCGGTTTTGACTCATAGCGACCCTGTACAGGGTTTCCAAGGCTGTAAATCTTTATGCGAGCAGAAAGTTTCATCTTTCTCCCACTAAACAGCTGGTGGTTTCAAACTGCCGACCTTGAGGTTAGCAGCCTAATTCGTAACCACTATGCTACCCGAGTTCTTTGAAGAAACGATAAGAAAATGAAAATGGCATTGGTGATAAAAAGGTCAGGAAAGTTGCATCAAGGAATTTTTTCCCATTACAACAATGTACCTGCTCATTCTTCCAGGGTAGCAAGGGCTGTCCTATAAGAATTTCATTGGGAAATCTTACATTATTCACCCTACACCTCTGATCTTGCCCTTTCAATCTTTGTTTTTGTTCCACAAACTCAATAACCATTTAAATGAAACACAATTGAAGTCACTCAAGGAAGCCCAAATTGCCATTTTGATATGGTAAACCTAGAAGTGTGCAGAATTCTTCAGGGGAAGGGTAATTGTTGTTGTTAGGTGCCATCAAGTTGATTCCAACCCACAGTGACCCTATGTACAACAGAATGAAAGATGGCCCCATCTTTTATCACAATTGTCTCTTGAGCCCATTGCTGCTCTTACTGGGTCATTGCATCTAGTTGGATCTCCCTCTTTTTTACGGACTTTATCAAGCATCATGTCCTTCTCCAGGGACTGGTTCCTTCTGATAATATATTCAAAGTATGAGAGACAAAGTCTAGCTATCTTGACTTCTAAGGAGCATTCTGGGTGTACTTCTTCTAACGTAGATTTGTTTGTTCATCTGTAAGTCCAAGGTACCTTTAATATTCTTCTCTAAAACCATTACTCAAATATATCAATTCCTCTATGGTCTTCCTTTCATATGCATATTAGGTTATTAAAAATTCCATGGCTTGGGTCAGGCATACCTTAGTCCTCAAACCAACATCAAAAGTGCTCTTGAACACTTTAAAGAGCTCTTGGACAGTATATTTGCCTAATGCAATATGTCATTTGATTTCTTGACTGCTGCTTCTGTGAGTGTTGATGGTGGGTTCAAGCAAAATGAAGTCTTTGACACCTTCTATCTTTTCTCCTTTTATCATGATACTCTTTATTGCTCCAGTGGTGAGGATTTTTGTTTTCTTGACATACAGGTGCAACCCATTCTTAAGACTGTGGTCTTTGATCTTCATCAGTAAGTATTTTAACTCCTCTTCACTTTCAGCAAGCAAGGTTGTATCACCTGCATATCGTAAGTTATTATGCGATATGAGTATTCCTCCAATCCTGATGCCACGTTTTTCTTCATATAATCCAGCTTCTGGGATTATCTGCTCAGCATGCTCTAGTAACAGTTCAAATCTACCAGCTACTCCGCTAGAAAACGTTGAGTATATATTATTATTATTATAGTATATAATAATAAGAGTCTGCAGCAATAAAAAAACTTTTTATTGTGAATGAAAGGTGAAGGGTTACAGAGCAGATCATCAGTTTACCATTAATCAAATAATATAACTTGCTTAATTATAAGGATTGCAATCCTTGTACCATCAGTTAACATTAGTCACCTCTGTTTAGTTTTAACACTTGCATTCATACCCCTGTCTCCAGCTACCTTGTCTTTCCTTTGCCAGCCTTCTTCTTATTATATATTGCCTGCCATGTCACCACATGGTGTGGTGCTGTGGGAGTCCTGGTGTGGTGCTGTGAAAGCGCCAGACTACAAAGCCATTTAAACTGCAAGGTTGGTGGTTCAAGCTTACCAGTCACTCCTTGGAAACCCTAAACCCACAAAGATTTATAGCCTCAGGAACCCTATGTTGCCATTGAGTTGATTCTAACCCATAGTGACCTTGTATAGGGTTTCCAAGGAGCGGCTGGTGAGCTTAAACCACCAACCTTTCAGTTCAAATGACTTTGCAGCCTGACACATTAGCCCACAGTGCCACACCAGGACTCCTCAGAAACCGTATACAGGGTCGTTATGACTCGGAACTGACTTCAAGTCACATAACCACCAACCACCACTATCACCGATTGAGAAAGTATGGTGAAAGAATACAATCTTGTCACACACCTTTCCTGATTTTGAACCATTCAGTGTTTCTTTGTTCTGTTCGAACAACTGCCTCTTGGTCTATATAAAGGTTCTTCATGAGCACAATTAAAGTGTACTGGAATACTCATTCTCTGCAATGTTATCGGTAGCTTGTCATAATCCACACATTAAAAGCCTTTGCATAGTCAATAAAGCATGGGTATTCTTTCTGGTATTCTCTGCTTTCAGCCAAGTTCCATCTTATATCAGCAATGATATCCCTAGTTCCATGTCCTCATCTGAATTCAGCTTGAACCTCTGAACCTTGTCAATGTACTGTTGCAGCCATTTTTTAATTAGTGGAAGGGTTAGAGAAATGAAACCATTGCCTTCAAAAGACCTAGACATAGGATATGTTGAGAAACAATAGCTTCCCATTTTGATATTTTTGTTTAATTAAGATTTCTATGATTCTCTAGCAGTACTTTTTGATAAAATTTTCTCAGGTTGACGAGGTGAGTATTGAGGAAATGTGTTTGGTAGTTGTTGGGTTTGAACCACCGACCTTGTGGTTTGCTGTCCAATGCTGATCCTACAACGCCACATACATAATGCATTAAGCAATTTGGAGTTCTACCCATATTTTTCCTTTCTGTCCTTTCCCTGCTCATGCCAGCACCACACATGGAGAGAGCTTGACTCCAGACAGCAAACTGGCTTACCTGACTTTATTGCGCTTTGCCAATTACATTTTTTTTTTTAGTAATTGAAGGATTCCGGCAACCTGGCCTTCAGCAAGTCTATAGGCACCATTTTCCACATAGCACATGCTCACTTCGTGTCCGTGTCGTGTTTTGGTAATTCTCACAATATTTCAAACTTTTTCATAATGTTATTACACACTTAATAGACTACAGTATAGTGTAAAAATGACTTTTACATGCACTGGGAAACAACAACAAAAAATAGGTAACTCCTTTGTTGCAATTCCAATATTCACTTTATTGGGATGGTCTGGAACCCACCCTGCAATAACTCCTCAATAACTCTCAGGTATGCCGAAGAGCATGGCAATATCAGTGCTGTTGTAGAATCAGTTCATGCTGGGCCCCCAACTCCATGAGCCTCCAACTCAGGCTCTGGCTAGAGCCCCACACCAAAAGTACAGTCGTTAGCCTGGGGGCGTGGGAACCAGAGGCAGCGCCCCTCCTTCCGCTGGGCGGAGTCGGCCCCTCCAGGAAAGTGGCTACTGCCTCCTTGCTCCGATCGGGGGCAGTCCTGCTGTGTGGTGTTTGGAGTCGGGGGCGCACTCCTTCTGCTCCCGGGGTTTGCTGGGATCCAGGAATCCGAACTCGGACGGACGTCGGAGCGTGACGCCCGGCGGTTTCTGACTCGCTCTAACTCTTCGGCTCCGCCCAGACATTGTCGCAAGTGGTGGAACCAGCCGGACAAGCCGAACTTGCCTCAACTCCCGGCGGCAGCAGGTGGCCCAGACGGGCAGCGCGCGCGCTCTGGAGCTTTCTCGATCTCCTGGCGGTATGGAGGCAGACGGGGATCCCGAGGAGCTGAGCCGGCTGCGCGCAGTCTTCTCCGCCTGTGATGCGAACCGCTCAGGGCGTCTAGAGCGCGAGGAGTTTAGCGCGCTGTGCTCGGAGCTGCGTGTGCGGCCGGCGGAGGCCGAGGCTGTGTTCCAGCGGCTGGATGCCGACCGCGACGGCGCCATCACCTTCCAGGAGTTCGCGCGCGGCTTCCGCGGGGCCCGCCGCGGAGGGTGGCGCCGGGGCTGGGGGCCTCGGGAGCTAGGGCCGGCTGCTGCGGAGGTCGGGTCCCGCCTGGGGGACAGCGAGGAGGACGCGGACGACGAGGACGCAGCGGCCACTCTGCCCGCTCCGTGGGACCCGGCGATCCCAGGACGGGCTTGGCAGGACTTCCAGGCGCGACTCGGGGACGAAGCCAAGTTTATCCCCAGGTGTGTGTATGTACACTGCTGGAAGGTGGGGGTGGTGGGGACATTTTTACCCTTCCTGATGCGTTGCCGTCTGTCTCTTTTAACTTGCGCTGTTCTAAAGGCACTGTAGGATCAGCACTGCACTACGAACCACAATGTCGGCAGTTCAAACCCACCACCTACTCCTTGGAAAACTTTACAGGGTCGCTCTGAGTAGGAATAGACTCGACAGCATTTAACAACCACAACAACTTTTCTCTGTGTGGACTTCTAGTGCTGTAGGATAAGCTCTGGAATGCGAACCACAAGGTTGGTGGTTCAAACCCACCAGTCGCTCCTCGGAAATCCTATACAGGGTCTCTATGAGTTGGAACCCACTCACTTAATTAACAACAGCAACAAGTCTCTTCTCTGTGATTTTTTTTTTTTTCTTTTTACTATTATCCACTATAACTTTCACCAGAATTAAGGAGAAAGGATGTTTTCAGAAAGGTAGGGTTTGGGTAATATGTTTCCCTTGATGAATTCTGTGCCCTACAAAGGGCACCTTGTTTGTTCACAATGGGGGTGGAGGGAAATTCGCAGTAATTCGTGGTGTTTGGAGATTCTTCCTTCTGGGTTCAGACGTGTGTCCTGATCTCACTGCATCCTGGTCACAGATCTACACAATTGCCAAGGCGGTGCCCTGGGGCTGTAGACCTGGCAGTTTGCCTGATTGGCATCCTCTGTGACAGTTTTTGGATTTATGAAAACACTGACACTATGCAGAAAAGAGACATTAGTGGATATTTACATTGTTGGGCACAGATTGGCATTTTACTGAATCTACTCCTTTAATTCTCAAAGCCTGCTTGGGAGGTAACCTTTATTAACTCTCATCAACAGGGAAACTCTTGGAATTTAGACCTATGGATGTTAAGGGATTTGAGCAGTTTATGAAACAGCAGAGATTTGGTCCCAGAAGTGAATTGCAAAACTCTTTTTTTTTTCTCCTCTAGAACAGAATAAAATAATAACTCATACAATATATTCCCTGTCCCTAAGGCTCAGAGATAATGCAATAGCAAGTTAATAATACTAAAGGAGAAAGGAAGGAGATCAGGGCATGGAGAGAGAACTGCTTTAATTTTATTATCTTTGATATTGTTTTGCATCTGTGCCTTGATGCCATGGTATTTCCAGCTGCTGTTTTGCAGTTCTTCTTCAGGTAATAAACAATACTTTAATACTGGAAAATAATCTTTATGCTTTTTATTTGGATTTTAGTTAAAATTACATTAAGATCTGGCCACAATTATTAAGAAGATTCAAAAGGCATCCTTTTGGATGATATCTGAGACATAAGACTCAGAAATCATTTGGGATGATACCTGAGACAGCTGTTCACAGTTCACAGTTAGATGTACAGAGCAGACGTCTGCCCAATTCCTCCTTCAAAGAAAGTTTGGGTTTGGAAGAGTGACTCACTCACCTCAGCGTGGAAGTATTGTATAGAGAAAGGGATGTGAGAGGATCCTTTTGATTATATGCAATAAGTTAAAGTGTCGTGTCCCTACCAAGGAAGTGGTGGTGGTGTGCAGTTAAGTTCATTCAGACTCATAGGGACCCTGTATAGAGTTTCCCAGGCTGTAAATCTTTGCATGAGTAGAAAACCTCATCTTTCTCCTTAGGAATGGCTGATGAATTCAAACTGCTGACCTTTCTGTTAGCAACCCTACCTGTAACTCATTACTGCTAACCTGAGTCTCTTAACCTATAATCATTCTGGGGGCATGCGTGTCTAATTGGAAAAGAACAGATATCAGATGTAAGAATGTTTGACTCCTGCAAAATGTAGTAGTGTAGTTTCTGTTTCTAATATCACTATGCTTCCAGAGCTCTCTATCAAGGAAGTAGAACTATTTCAACATTGCTGTAATCTCTAACTTGGTTTGGGTCCAGTTAATTTTAAAGAGTAACATTTTTAGAAATGAGGTAAATGAGTTCGCATCATGTTGTTAACTGCTGTTGAGTTGGTTCTGATCCTGTATAGGGTTTTCCAGGAGTGCCTAGTGTGTTTGAAACACCAACCTTGTTAGCTGTTGTTATTAAGTGCTGTTGAGTGGGTTCTGACTCATAGCAACCCTATATAAGGTTTCCAAGGAGCAACTAACTGGTGGGTTTGAACTGGCAACATTGTAGCTCTCAGTTAAGTGCTGTTTCTATAGTGCCATACCAGAACTCCCCACATAACATTAGAAGTTATCTCTTGCACTTTCTCTATATATACATGCAGTCCTGGTGTGGCGCTGTGGATAAAGCAGTAGAGCACAAGGTCTACTTGAACCACAGGTTGTCCGTTCAAACTCATGAGCTGTTCCTTGAAAACCTTATTGTTGTTGTTGTGCAGTGCCTTCAAGTACGTTCCGACTCATAGCAATCCTATATAGGGTTTCCAAGGAGCAGCTGGTGAATTTGAACCACCAACCTTACTGTTCAAACCAATCTTGCAGTCCAGTGCTTCATCTCACAGCACCACACCAGGACTTCAGGAAACCCTATACCAGGATCTTTATGAATTGAAATTAACTTGACAGCACTTAACAGTCACAACATGCATATATGCAAGGCACTGTGGTGTTATTGGTGTTGTTAAGTGCCGTCAAGTCGATTTCGACTCATAGTGACCCTGTACAGGGTTTTCACGGAGCAGCTGGTGAGCTTGAACTGTGAACCTGCGGTTCAAACCTACTTTGCAGTCAAGTGCAGTAAACCACAACGTGACCCTAGGATTCCTTTGATGTTTCAGTGGATTATAAATTGGGCTGCTAATGGCAAGGTCAGCAGTTTGAATCCAAGATGAGACTTTCTGCTCCTATAAAGATTTACAGCCTCAGAAACCCTATATGGGGTTGTTATGAGTTGGAACCGACTTGACTTGGCAGCGCACCACCACGTACAACCACCCAACACCACCATATATATGCCTATGGATCTACTTTCCGGAGTTGGCAAGGTTCAATAGCAAATATTTGTCACTTACCCTGAAATTATTAAAATAGCCTTTTTAAAGATCTGAGTACAAGCCAGGACTTAATATTATTGGTGACATAATTATTATCATGATGTCTTTCCAAACACTTTTAAGATGACTAATTTTTGTGAGTCCCAGTGTCACCTGGTAGACTTGTGTCATAAGCCCCACCCTCTTCTGATGCGAGATTAACAAGTAAAATATTTGCCTTCCTATACTTGTTCCAGTCGAAAAGAACTAAACTGAGTTGCTTCATCTGATTATTACCATGGCAACCACTAACTGTTTTGGTAATTGGTCTGTTTCTACTCAACTTCCTCCTACAGCTGTTCACCTTCCCTTCCTCCCATCCAAATATGATAAAATGCAACAACCTTTTGTTATTGATAATGCCATTGACATTATTTCAGGCAAATTCATTTGTCAAGCATTATTGGAGTGTCTTTTATGTGTCAGATGCTGTCCTAGGTGCTTTCTGAGGTACCAGGAACAGAGAGAAGGGTAAGATGTGGTTTCTGGTCTCAAGGAGCACACAATCTGGGTGAGATCCTTCTTAGAATTTCATTAAAGAATTCAAGTTTCATGCAAGAGGGTTATTTAAGGAGGTCTCATGTATTGTGGGCAAAGCCCAATGGAAACAACACTGTAAGCAGGAACTTGCTTTGATGTCTTGCTTTACTATCTTTTAAAAAATATACACATATTTGTTCATTTTACTCCACAATATATCGATGCTTGCTTCAACATACAGCATTGCATTTTCTTCCAAGGCGTATAGTTGTTTCTGTGGGAAGATGTGTGACATTTCATCTATGTCTCTGCTTCCCACCTGACACTTCATCCTTTCCTTCTGGGAGCATGCATGTCTAATTGGAAAAGAACAGATATTAGATGTAAGAATGTTTGATTCCTGCAAAACATAGTAGTGTTGACAGGGTTTCTGTTTCTAATATCACACAAACTTTCTAGTCAACATTTTGAGTAATTTTGACTTTAACTCTCCAGTCATCAATAACTGTGATGTTGTTTGTTGAAGCAGAATTGGTTCTGACTCATGATGACCCCGTGCACAGTGGAAGGAAACGTTGCCTGGTTCTGTGTCATCTTCATGATTTTTGGTATAATTGGAAGCACAGGGCTTTCTAATTCCCCTAATTGTCAGAAGTAAATTTCCAGGCCTTTCTTTCTAGTCTTATGTCTAGAAACACCTCTGAGACCTGTCAACCCTTCATGACCGTATTGGTATTTGAAATAGTGATGGCACAGCTTCCGGTATCGTAGCCACAGCCCACAGGCAAGCCACCACTGCAAGATGCATTGTTGTGATATTAGAGAGAATGTACTATTGCATTGCTGTTGTTGTTATGTGCCATGGAGTCGGTTCCGACTCATAATGACCCTGTACAGGGTTTCCGAGGCTGTAAATCTTTATGGAAGCAGAAAGCCTCATCTTTCTCCCACGGAGCGACTGGTAGTTTCGAACTGCTGACCTTGCGGTTTGCAGCCCGATTCGTAACCACTGCGCTACCAGAGCTCCTTGTAAAAGGATAAAAGTGGCCTCTGACATGTGTGTCAATACACTCTTAAGTTTGCTTTCACCTGCAGCCTTGAAGGGCTCCTTTCCTTAAAGACTGGGAGGGGTGTGTTATGAGAAGTATGACCTGTTAACCTGAATCCAGCACTTTTAAGTGGTCTATATAGTCCTGGTGTGGAACTCTAGGATAAGTACATGGTCATTAAGGTTGGTTTGAACCATAAGGTTGGCAGTTCAAACTCATCAGCCACTCTTTGAAAATCCTATATAGGATCGCTGTGAGTCAGAACCGACTTGACGACACTTAACAACAACACCAACGCAGCCAGCATGGCCAGTGCCACTTGGTACACTGGAATTAGGTCAAACAGTAGATGAAACCAGCATGGGCAAAGGAGATACCATTGTGTAGTGGAGTTCAGGGATGAAGATAGTAGGAGGCCAGGAAAAGTCTACCAAGTGGGAGAGAATATG